CTGTCTATTCTCGACCAATACCACCTAAAATCGTCGTCATTAGCGGGCGCGACGTCGCACGCGACGCCCACTGGCGCGGCGAATTACGATTCTCTTGCCACATACCCCAGATGGAGTGGATATAATAGAACGCCTATCCGGAGCTAGATGTTCCTTGACGAGTACCGCTGGAATCCTTCCTGTTTCCTCGTTGTACGTGCTATTACGAACCCTTCATTCAAGCTGGCAAATTACTCCAGCTTTTTCGCCATCTCCTGGATAATAGCTAACGAAATGGCTACGTGGTACCAGTACATCACAGATCATGGAATGCTGTCCAACGACAAGTACCACGACGGGATGAGCTACCCTTGTGCCTTCCATTTGTTTCCGATGCAGTCTGCGCTACAGCACAGTATTGTCAGAGCACAAGTATAGGATAATGTTGTATTAGTGAACACTCCCATTAGTAATATCAAATGTTACTTGCTCGGGACAGATTGTATGGCAGTCAAGTCATGACCCCAAACGGTTTTATCTGCCCAGTAGGCCTGAAATCGAGGAAATGTTGGAATATTTTACACACGTGGATGTGAGGGTTGCGATGCGCGTACATTGGAGATAGGAAGGCCTCCAGCGATCCATGTGAAGGAGTATTCAACTGGAAAAAGACATGGTATTATATCCACTCCATTCGGCATGCATAAGATTGAGGAGCATTAAGAGATGATGAGAATCTGATCCAAGGATTTTCTGGAGTCTTCTGGATTTTCTTGAGTTGTCGCTTAGGAATGAGTTCATGTTGTTTTATTCGAATGCCGGCTACGGTGAGGGTGACGCGCCGAAGGACATATTTGACGATACGACGGTTTGTGACTCGAACATTGCCATGATCGCGTACCCCGGGACAATGCTCGACATGACGTAGGAAGCGCTAGGGATGGGAAGGTGCATGGTAGGGTAGATTGCAGGTTAAGAAGCTCAGAGCTACTTTCAGGTCTCTGAAGAACACGGGAATCTCAAAACTTCTGTCAGAAAGTATTTCACCACTCGACTTTGTTTGACAGAAGTGGAACGGAAATCAGCCACTCACTAATCGGCAAAAACCACATTTTTGAGCACGATACTGTAAACCCAAGTTGTGGCGGCGCAGCGCGTCATTCGAACCTGACTGATTCAACGAACAAATGACTTAGTATTTATTAACTGATTTATTGACTGATTTAGGGAAATGGATACACACTAGCTAGGCTGTGCACGCCGCCAAAACATAGATCGTCTGACCCGCATTCCCGATCAGCATTTCAGAGTCAAAATAGATTAAGCACTCGCGGTAAAGCCGCCTATAAGGCGAATCGATTACCGCTGTTCTACTGGTTCATTGTATTGTCCATGGGTGGGATTCAGCTTAGAAAACCTTCAGCCTCGTCTGGCTCCACAGAGAATCCGCCTCGAGCGTGATACGGTTATTGAAAAGTTTGTCAGACCGACCCTTCTCAGAATGAGTAGCAACACTTTCATATGTTTATTTACCTAGAAAGACAACGAAATCCAACTGAGTAGAGCAGTTTCACAGATTCGATGGAATTTAACAACTCTTTTTATTTCTAACTATATGCTCCACCCAACGGTCCAATTTCGGATAAAGGACTCGTTGTTTCGTACTCGAACGATGCCATCTACGTAGCAAAGAAAATTTACCTATAATATCGCCCAGGTGTTCCATCGATGTGCCTCGAGTTGAGAGCAGCTCCAAGTGAAACTCTCCATTGCATGTTCAGGGTTACCAGTTCGTCCGTGCCTGAACTAGCCGACCCTTAAAAGCTCGATCGATCACTGATAAGTGGGTGAAAGCAGGTACGAGATGAAATTCATCACAACTTTGGCAGGACTCAGGGAGCTTTTGGCACAACTCACTGGGTACTGCCCCACTGTCCCAAACTCAGGCAAGATCTCGACCGAAATTGTTCTCGGCGATCTTCATTTGCGAACTTTTAATCGCGTGTAGTATGGCCCCGTAAATGTGAGTAAAAGCACCCTCGGAGGCCAGCTCTCAGCAATTTTGATGATGAGGTGTTTCGGCGAAGACGCCAGACATGTGATGATTATGTTCAGAGATCCAAATAATCCGCGTATCAGATTTTAGCCAGATGTACCCTTACAGAAGAATATTTGTCTGAAAGATATTTTACTGTAGTC